CAGCATGTCCGAGCCTATCTTCGTACGCTTCCCTTCTCCTAGGCATCATGCTCTCGAGAACATCCCATGTTCGCCGTCAGTCCCCCATCTCTTCCCATGTCACCGTGGGTTCGCAAATGCAGTGCTTGTCGCACCGCACGCCACGCCACTGCTATGGGGGGTGTCGTATTATACTTACACGTACACTATTGGATCAACCCGCTCTGATAGATACAACCCCTGTGCGCCGTCCCGAATTAATGCATAATGCCCAGCGCATCAGCTCTCGCCCCCCTCTGCTGCGTCCTCGCCGATGTTCTTTATCCACGCCCCGATAGCGCCCCTGAACGCCGCCACGCGCAATAAGCGTCGTTTGATCAGCCACCGCGCGACGCTAATCGCGAGAAGAGGCACACGTACAAGAATCCTTCGTGCCGCAAAAACAGCGCGCGCTTCGTGCCCTTGCTCCAGAACCGGATGGCGTACGAGAGCGTGCTGATCGTCGCCGCATGACCTGCGTCGTAAATAAACCCGCCGTCAGAAAGGTGGTGGACGTCTGTGACGCCGTGCATGACGCACCTCGAATAAAGTACCCCCCAAAGTATATCCGGTCTAGGTTGTACTTTTCTGCGTTCATGTACCTGCGTGATCGAGCGTAAGCACACTTGTCTCACCGGCGCAGCCAAGAACGCTAAGAGCCGCCGGGGCAGCGGTCCACGTTACACCTCGCTTGAAGGCTTCTGACCATATGTGGCACCTATTTGTCTGACTGTCCCATTCTCAACGCATTTAAGATGTATTGAGAAAATCGTGTTACATGCTGATCACATTTTGACAGCCGCGTGTAATCAGCATGCAACTACGGTGGCGCGAGCTGATACACCGAAAGCACAGTCGGATTTTGTCACGATGTGACTTCGGTGTAACATCTCGTTACACAGGCCCATGCCCCCAGTGAGCTTGACGCGGAATTGTCGCGATGAGACAGAAGGCAACACGTACGCTATTTGTCCAATGTTGTTCGATATCGCGTAGAGTAAGCTCTTGCTGATGTCTTCCGGGGTGAACGTGCCCCGCTTTCCGCCCTGCTTCTTGAACACCTTCCCGAACGTACTTGCGATCATCGTCGACTTCAAACCGAGCTTGCTGTAGTCCGAGCCGTATATGTCGCCGACGAGCATGTCCACCGTCTCGTTATCGCCCTTCTCCGACAACGCAAGCATCTCTGTTGCTGCGTTCAGTGACGCCCACATGATACGCGCAGAAACGCAAACCTCACCGTCGAATGTTGTAGCTGGAGTGAGCAGACTGAGCAGCCCCCAGAGCGTGCCGCCGCCCAAACTCGTCCCACTCACGCGCTCATACGACCCGTCCTCGTTGACTTTCACGATCGACACACCCGAGCCGATGTTCACGAGCAAACACGGCAGCTGCGGGACCGGGTGCTGCACGAACGTGACCGCGTACTTGGGCGGGTCCGGGCTCGGGCGCTCGAGCTGCGCCTGGCTCGGGTGCGACACGGAGTGGATGAGCTCGTCCGAGAAGTAGTACACCTCGTCCGGGATGAGCGTGATGAACTTGAGGCCCTCGATGAGGCACGCCATCTCGTCCTCGCGGTGCACCGCGACCTGCAGCGCGGCCCCGAGCAGCTCGTAGAAGCGGTGTGCGCCGCCGCCCGTCGCGATCACCTTCACGCCGCGGCGCATCTCGCCGAGCGGCACGCCGTTCACGGCTGCGGAGCGCTCGATGAGCGTGCGGATGAACTCGACGCACTCGTCGATGTGCTCCGTCTCGAACCGCTCGAAGTTGAGCGAGCCCCCGGGGAAGTGCTGCACGGACGCGCGCCGCAGCAGCGAGTCGTGCAGCAGGCTGTGGCTGACGGACTCGGGTGAAAGTGAAGCTGTCGCGGTGCCGTTGCGCGTCGACGACGCAGACGCCGTCGTGTTCTCCGCAGTGAGAGCGGGTACGTCAAGGTAGCTTGCGTGGCCGTTGCATTGCTCGAGGACTGCGGGCGTGAGCGCCCCTTTGGGATACCCGTTGAGCTTCCCCGAAGGGGGTGGTGAGGACAAGGGGCTGTCCTTGCCGGGCGACGAGGATGGCGGTGTCGAGATGTCGCTTGGACTCGATCCGCGCGTCGCGATTTGGGAGGGCGAGGATGGCGGGTTTGTGGATCGCGTGAAGTATATGACCTTGGCCAGGGATCCCCCGATCTAATGCGCCGCGCGTGCGTGAGCAGATCGCGCACACGAGGATGAATGGAGCACTTACATCCACCGCTATGTGCGAGACGGGCTCGATGTAGTTTGGGAAGTAGATTCCGCGGCTGTCGCGCGTCTGATCGCGCGATAGAGGGGGGGCGTCGCGGAGAGCGATTGTGTGGACAAAGGTGTACAGCGCGGATCGCGAGAATCTGAGAAGTGCGCTCTGACGCTATGCGGGGTGCAGCTGACGTACCTCTGGCGATTCCTCGTCCAGAATCAGGGCCCCTCTCGTGTCGACCTGAATGGTCTTTGCGGTGGGCAACGAGGGTCCTGCTGCGGCCATTTCTGTGGGCATTCCTAAGTGTTGGCGGCGAGAACTTGAAGGCATTTGTGGGATTCAGGATCCGAGTACAGCGCAGACCAGGTATCCGAGGAGAAGAGGTATGTGGCAATTAGGGTCCGTTTAGCAGAGAATCCCGGTTGGTGTTCGACAAAGGATCCGGGTAGCCGGAAGATGGATGTCCGAGGAGAGGGTGTCAGACCACAAAGCACAGCAGCTGACCGCAGACTGTCTGAAGGGAGTGTTACGAGATACGAGCGGCCAGGAGCGGGGATAGGATGTGCAGTCGGAGGCGATGGTACGACACCGGTTATGCGCTCGCCGTGGACTCTGAAGTGGTTGGGGCAGCCTGAGCTCATCTTACCCCGCATCTGCCAGGTCCACAAATCGGTGGGCCGTCTCCGATCGCCCGCGCCCGACTCGCCTCCGTTCCTCCTCACACCCACACCCACCGGCCCCCCCTGCCCCGCCCGGCCAATCCCTTCCCGCACATTCCGACACGGACGTGGGCATGCAGCCCTTTTCCGTATACAGCTGACCACGCCGAGGGCCACCGATCGCATCAGCGTCAGCCACACACGGTTCGTCCTGGGCGCAGAGTCTGTTTTTAATGGAACCTTGTGAGAATATTCGTTGGGGCTAGTGACTGTCAGAACGGTGATTCTCTGCAATATATTCCTGGGTAGTGCGATGTGCATGAATGTAGTGGACGCGACGAGAATCCAGACCGCGGATTATTAGCCACAGTTTGCTTTGGCGCCCGTGCGCGACACTCTTCAGCTGCACTCACCTCGACCTCTTGAACTTCTCCGACATGGTCACATACGCTAGAACTCATTCTTGAAGCTCACACTAAGGACACCTAGCAGTCTCATATCACAGACATGGCCGAAACATCTTTCATATCATTTCCTTCGGGGCGGCCTCGAAAGCGCCCCAAAATCGAACGCGACAGTGACGACACAATCCTCCCGGACCTCCCCCTGCTCGAGATAGACCGTCCGCTCTGGCTCGCAGACGGTAACGTCGTGATCATCGCGCAGTCTCAGACGGCATTCCGCGTTCACAAGAGCGTGCTTCTGCGCCACTCCGATGCGTTCAAGACCCTCCTCGCGGTGGCGGAGCCTACGTTCGGGGAGACGTCGAAGGTGGAGGGCTGTCCTGTCGTGCATACCGAAGATACTGCACACGACTTCAAGCACCTGCTGCATGCGCTGTACGATGGGCTCGAGTGAGTGCTCCTTTCATGCTCTCGACTACCCGTGTCCCGATCCCCCTTTTCCCTAGCACCTGTCACAAGCCCGACGAACCAGCCGCGTTCAGCACCCTTGCCGCCCTTGCTCGCTTAGGCTACAAGTACTCCATCGACCGTATCTTCACAGCAGCCATCAAGCGACTCAAGGCGGTCTTCACGGACGACTTCCAGGCGTGGCGCGCGCACGAAGGCCGAACCACCCCCCTCGTCAAGTTCACGCGCAACGACGCGATCGAGGCCGTCAACCTCTTCCGCAAATCCAACCAAGCGCGCTTGCTCCCCTCCGCGCTGTACATGTGCTGCTCGCTCAGCGTGCACACGCTCCTGCATGGGGCGCAGCGTGCAGACGGAACGGTCGAGAAGCTCGCGCTGAACGACCTCGAACGCTGCCTTGTCGCGCAACAGAAGATCGAGGCGCGGAGTACCGCGTTCAACCACAGGATGCTCGACTTCAGCGACCCTGCGCGGCCGGCGTGCGTCGCTCGCGACTCGCCGACGTGCAGTACGCGGCTGCCGCAGCTGCTGAGGGGTTTGGGGGATGCGGTAGGTGCGCTTGGCGGCGATGCGGGTGCGTCTACGAGGCAGCAGTGTCTCCGTGTCTTCGTCGAGACGCACCGCAGTCCGGAGATGCGTGAGACCCTGGGTCTATGCCGGATCTGCGCGGAGTACGTGCTATCGAGCGACCTACTCTTTTCTGAGGAGCTGTGGCACGATCTTCCAAGTGTTCTAGATCTGCCAGTTTCGGAGTGGCATTGAGTTCCTCATGTCAGAAGAGTGGATAGTCGCCCGTAAAACGTATACAGCACTAATGCCTTCATAGCTATGCTTGATGCAAAAGTCTTCGCAAGCGTTCGGGCCGAAATAAAGCTGTTGTCAAGTAATCACCCGCATGGACACTATGTTCAGCCTACGTAGACGAGTTGTTGTTGGTATTGGGAGCTTGAAGACGTGTGGTACTAGTTCGTTGGACTTAATCCTGGTACTGAGTACTCGCAGAGCAGTACTGGTAGACAATTCCGACACTGATACTGTTACTAGATGAGTACCATCTGTGTATTGCACGAGTTGCTCTCGAAGAGGGCCGTTCGATGTATGCAGTGGCTTAGTACATCATCGTGGTAGGAGGATAGAAATCGACGTTCGCGATTCTGCAGCACTGGGCGAGAGAGGATGATGCATGACGTTAAACGATGACATGAGAATTTGAGCGCAGAGCGCCTCTCGAGAACCCTTGGCACAGTGGTAGCGCGTGAGATTCCAGTACGGACATCCTCAAGGTCGTCCGTTCGATCCGGGCAGGGTTCACTTTTTGTGTGCAGCTGACACCCGTGTTCTCCCAGGGTTTTGACCCTTTCGAAGGGGGTATCCTCTCTGTTAGTATATCGGTTAGTACACGCGCTTGTCACCTCCGTCATTAGCTGACCGCGCGAAAGCGGGGTTCGACTCCCCGACAGAGAGCGAGAGTGTTTTGTCGCGGTGGCCATTCAAGAGGTGACATGTGTCTCCATGATATCATAAAAGATGGGCCTCGCAACACCTATTTCTCGCTCCGGTCTACTGGGTACATCAGCCACCTATCGATGCATGATACACCGGGGTATCGCTATGTATAGGTAGACAATGGTACATTGTACAGCCATATGGTATAGAGCAGCATGAATCGTTGCATAGGACAGCATGGGCGGGGGCGGGCAACAACATACGCAATACGTTTACATACAAACGGCCTGCCGGAAGAACCCGTATAAGTGCTCGTGGTCGTAGAGACAGCTATGATACAGTAAGCAGCAATAGGGTCGACGTCTCGCGGCGATATAACGACGGCGCCGGCAAGCGGCGGCGGTTGCTGAGAAGGCGAAGCAATAGATATGTTGTAAATAACGATCACGACCGAATGAAACGTGCCCTAGAGTGAGCGTCAGCACACACATTCATGGAGAAGAAGTTATCAAAGGTTCCTCACCATAGCGGCACGTCACGCCCATAGGGTGAGCTTCGTGAACTCGACACCGCCCCGTTCATTGGGATGGGCTACAAAAAGTGCGCCCAGACGCGTGGCTGCAAGCACTCACATGTGAGCAAAATCCGTCATGCGCAAAAAAATAAAACGGTCGACGCACCATCCTGCACGCCCGATTCCTTGCAAGGTACGGTCGCGAGGCCCGCCGCACGCAGCGCGGTCATGACCTGCCCGTACGTCCCGCGGAACAGCGAGCCCGGCACGCCGTCGCGCTCTACGTTCTCCGAGCGGATGCTGCTAATCGACATGCGCCCGCGCCCCGCCGCGTCCAGCGGGTCCCCGCGCTCCGCCCCCGGGGAGCTGTCCATGCCTGCCGCGAGCACGGCCTTCGCGATGCGGTACTTGAGCCGCGCGAGGCGGCTCTCCGAGAGTCTGCACGGGGGCTGCGCGAGCTGCGAAGCGAGGCGAATGTACAACCCGTGGTCCTCTGGGCACTCCGCCTCGGCGCCAGGCCCGGCGAGGGTCTCGGAGGACGCGGTCGCGGCGAGCGTCCAATCCGAGGCGAGGGTGCTCCGGCTGGGCGTGGGCCGGAGGTTGAGGGAGGGCCGCGACTCCGAGGCGTCTCTCCGTGGTGTGGGAGGCCGCATCGATGACCGGGAGCTGGACCGGGAGTGCGAGCGGAAGGCGACGTTCGCAAACTCGACGAGGTAGGGGATGCCGAGGGCGTTGAAGCGGATTTCAGGGGCCATGGTTGGCGTAAGGGTGGGTATGAGACCAATACCAGATTGGGTCGGGGTGCCTATGGTGATGGCGCGATAATGAATCGTCGAAGGCCCGCGAAGATACCGGTGGGTCGTATATGTAGAGGAGGGGCAGTGCCTTGTGGCGGACACGTTCTTACATCTGCGCCTCGGATTCTGCAGAGGGAGACCTGCGCACTCGAATGGGGTTCCCATGAGATTTCGCGTCCAGATCCTGTGCGCGCCACGGGGCGTGCTAGAGTGGTGCTGCACCTGAGGGCGGATGCTGAGCCGACGAGAGCAACAGAAGCAGGCGAGCTTCATGCGCCGCCCACATCGCTTCTGTGGCCATACAAACTTGCGAAGAAGTACGAGAGCAGGGCCGGCAACCGTTCGATGTCCTGATAGGTGGAGCGAGAATCCTAATTCGCCGTGTACGAACGCGCCGCACATTGCTGCGGGAAGCAAGTCTGATAGCAGATGGGGTCAGCTGGCTCAACGAAGGGCCAATCTTTTCATGTTTCGGGCGACAGAAGAGGCTACGTCAGCTTTCCTAAAACACGCGGCGCCAGAAAAATGAACCGCAAGGCCATCCAGACCCTCGCAGGAACGCGGAAACAATGTGGGGGAGTGCTGTACACACCACGGGCAGTGTGGCAACAGCATCGGTGTCTATCCTTTTTGCAAGGTAGCGAGAGGCGGGGCATATCGCATGAACGTTAAGCATAACTGTGTCTTGTGCCAGCAAAGGGGTGCTGTAGAGCACTGGGTCTCACAGCGTCCAAGGAGATGAGGGTACTGAAGAGGGATGCGAGACGGAGCGCTCGTAGCGAACGGAAGACGAGCGCTAGCTGCGGCCCGTGGACCGATGCCGTCGACCGGTGGACGGTGGACGGCGCGAACTTGTTCACCGACGGCCACCACCAATTCATCCTCGTCTTCTATGACTGCTGTTCTCTGCCATCCTCACAATGGAAGCAAGGTCCTTGCGGCTACTCAAGTTTGCCGATGTATGTATAGAGCGGGCGACTTTGCATCATAACGGTCAGACCGGCAGGGGACGCTAGCAGCGCGAAGGTGTCCATATCCTACATATACTCTTACAACGTGCAAGCCTCGCAGAAGCCTACACACGCCTGTCCTCGTGATACATCGTCCTGTCCTGTCGGGGCCGCGCCATCTCTGCTCATGGGAACGGGCCTGGCCTCGGACGGTCGCCGCCTATGTCTCTCCCCTTCTCCCGCTGTCCTCTCTTCGGCGCTGGCTCGGCGCCCCCAGGGAGATGATCTGCTCGATGAGCGATGGCCGCCTCTGCTTCCGGAGGGACGGTCGCGGGGTCTGTAGAGTCTTACTCGAACATCGCTCTGGACGCGGCTAGGGCTTGTCGCTACTCACCTTATCCTCGGGCTCAGCCCGGCGTGGTGTGGCGACCACCAGAGGAACAGGGTACCCTGAACCGGGCGGACTTTGTGGGAAGGGCATACTAGCCCGCCGTGAGCGGGAGTCGTAGCGCGGCCGCTGTGTTTGCGACATGCTCGCAGGCGGAACGCCGTATGGTGAGACTACAGGGACTGCTACTGGTGATTTGAGGTAGCTTTCCTCAGATGAGGACGTCGTGCGGTAAGAGGATGATGTTTGGATGGATGCCCTGGTCGAGGGAGGTCGTGGCTGCTCGTAGGACTGCTCCGCCTGCGCCTGCACCCAAAGTGCAGTACGCTCAGAAGAAGAAAGCTCGTGGGGGCTGGCGTCGCGAGGCATGGGAGGAGCGTGGCAGAGGCGATCTCAGCGTGGTGTGTGCGGGGTGCGGGAGGGCAGCAACGGCGTTCGGACGGTAGTCTTATAGTAGGGCGCGTCGATCTGGACGGATACGGCAGCGTCCAAAGACTGGGATTGGGGTTTCTTCGCAGGCGCCCCGGCAGCAGTCCATGTGCCAGAGATGCGCCTCAATTGTCTTGGAGCGAGTGGGAGCGGCCGTCGTACGCGAGAGCTGGCTCGGAACGGCCCCAGCTTCCTGCGCGCCCGCTGCTGCAGCCTAGTGCCCCAGCGCGCTCCGAGAGAGCCGTCTCTGTTCATCCCGCCCATTCTCCTCCGGTCTCCGACCCACTGCGCTCATACCAGACCCTGGAAGATCGCCAATTCCGGGTGGCAGAAGCGATCACGAAGAGACAGTCGTCCTCGTGGCTGTGCCGAGCTCCATCGTGCCTACTTCGGGCCTCTTGTCTGCTCCTGGCAACTGTAAGAATACCTCAAAGGTGTGCTTTCGTTATGAACGTATTAAATTTGGCACTGCCGGAAGTGCAGTTATATCCAACAATGAAGCTCGCTACCTGTTCATGCTATCAATGTCTAGAAATCCATGGTGGGAATCTAGGCCGGACGGAAATATGACTCGTTCCTAGAATCCGCCACAAAGATATCTGGACACCTGCGCTCCGCTAGCTGCGGGCACCTCTTGTGGTTGTCTCTGACGATCTCTCCCAATCGATCCTCAACCAACTCAACTCAACTAAAGCCATGTCCGCCGAAGGTGCCCAGCCGGCGACAACGCAGGTCGTCATTCTCGGCGCAGGCGTCATCGGCCTCACCGTCGCCCACGTCTTGTCCAAGGATGCGCGGTACAAGATTAAGATCGTGGCTCGGGACATGCCCGACGACCTGGACTCCCAGGCGTTCGCGTCCCCTTGGGCGGTAAGTGCGGGCTACCGGCTCGGACGCGCTGCGCTCACACCGTCCCCACCTCGCGCACAGGGCGCGAACTGGTCCCCGATGGGCGAATACAACGCACGCATCTACAAGTGGGAGAAGACGACCTTGTGCGTGCCCCACTCCGCGTGTTCGGCCGCGCACCTGCGCACTATGAACGCTAATGAGCCTGCGGGTGCAGTGACAAACTTTGGGACATGATTCCCGCCGGGCTGGCCATCGTAAGTTCGGGCAGCGGCGCCGTACATGCCAGGTGCAGCGCATACATAGAACTAGAGAACTCACGGCGCACGGCGTGTTAGACATCTCCGTCGCGGGTCTTTTACGACGCAGGCGCGGACTTGGACGCGCTCTGGTACAAGACCCTCGTGCGGGACGTGAGTCTGTCTGCGGGAAGACACTGCCTCTGCTCTTCTGCTCACCTTCCACACTCTTAGTTCCGGATCCTGGGCAAGGATGAACTTCCTGACGGCACGCACGCCGGCGTCGGCTTCCAGACTGTCTCCGTATGGCCGCAGGCATACCTGCCGTGGCTCAAGTCCGAGCTCGACGCGCGCGGCGTTGAGTTCGTCCGCAAGCGCGTCGCCACGCTCGGCGAAGCCGCCGCGCTCGCGGGCCCTAACGGCGTGCTCATCAATGCGACTGGGCTGGGTGCGTATGGCCACCGCGCTGCCTCGTCCGGCGTCATAAACAGACTGCTGGTGGCCATTTGCTGACGGGCGTGCTCCGGCAGGTGCGCGGTCCCTGATCGGCCTGGAGGACAAGGACGTGTACCCCATCCGCGGGCAGACGATCGTGATCTCCAACCCGAACGTGCGCGAGTTCATGTGCACCGAGCTCAGTGCGTCTCTGTGCCCCGTGCTCTTCCTTCCTTCCCCTGACGGTGCCCCGTAGCGAGCGCA